AGGGGCCTGGTGAGAAAAGTTCTAGTGGACCAGTTTACGATCTTATATCCTTCCCTCCTTTGAATTAAATCTGATAATGCTGATGTTTGTCCGGTAGCTTCCTTACGTTCTCGTTGTTTCTCCGTTCCTTTTGGTGATAACTTTATAATTTTGACTAGCTATTCGTGTGCGTATGAACATTATATTTTGAATTGACTTAATGATGAATGGATAATAAAAATTTACTCATTTTATTCTGAATTGAGTGAATGATAAAAAAATTAAAAATTAATTTATGAAAATTTGGGTAGTGACAATGATGAAAATAATTAATAAAATATAAATTAATCATATTTTGAATTTAAAAAATGATATAAAAATAAGAATAAAAAATAGATTTGATACATAGAATTAACCAAATCATTAATAAATTATACATAAATTCATCAACTTTAGAATCGAAAAATTGTTAAGGAATAAAAAATGAAAAAGAAAGGAAACATAAAAGTGACTTCTTCAGTTGTTTCTGAACGAGAACACAGTCCAGCTGGGTTAGCTGTTCAGTTCATGAACTGAAGGTCTAGAGATCAATACTCTATGTATTCACATTTGGTATGTTCTGTTCAGAAAATCCTGCTACGATCCTGACGCAATCCTGCCACGACACCAGTAAGTTTAACTCTTGTAAATATACACTAAAAATTCCTAACCTTTGACCTACGGCAGATTCTTGACAGGTTCCTTCACGATAGTTAGACGAAAGTTTGGCCACATTAGATATGATCCTGAAAGGATCTTGAAAAAATTTTTAATGACAAGTGTAAAAATCCTGAAAAGATCCTACAAAATCCTGATATTAGCCTGGCAAGATCCTAGGAAATCTTGTGTTGAGTCCTGGCAAGATCCTGAAATTCCATGGCTACACACTTCTTTCAGGATTTATTGGTTTCCTGGTCTAATCCTGATTCAAAAATAATGGTAAACCTATCATAATCCTTGAAATTCTTGTTACGAATCCTAGCAAGATCCTGAAATTCCCTGGCTACACACTTCTTTCAGGATTTATTGATTTCCTGGCCTAATCCTGATTCAAAAATAATGGTAAACCTATCAAGATCCTTGAAAACCTTGTTGTGAATCCTGACAGGATCTTGAAATTCCCTGGCTACACACTTCTTTCAGGATTTGTCGTTTCCTCAGGAAAAAACGTTGAATCCTTGCAGAATCCTTGTCAGATCTGCAAAGGATCTGGCTCTGAAATATCAAAGATTTTCCCTAGGGATCCTATAGGGGTACCTCGAGATCCTGAAGCCCCATTATGAAGGGGTTCTTCGAGGTCCTCAAGTCCTATTATAGAGGGGTATCTCGAGGTCGTCAAGTGCCATTATAGAGAGGTACATCGATGTTCTCAAGTCCTATTTTGGAGGGTACTTCGAGGTCCTCAGGACCAATTATAGAGCGGTACTTCGGGATCCTTAAGTCCAATTACAGAGGGATACCTCGAGATCCTGAAGTCCTATTATAGAAGGGTGCCTCGAAGCCCTCAAGTTCTATCATGGAGGAGTACTTCCAGATTCTCAACTGGTATTATAGAGGGGTACCTCGTGGTCCGCAACTGCCATTATAGAGGAGTACTTCAAGGTCCTCCAGTGCTATTATACAGGGGTTACTCGAGGTCCTCAAATCCAATTATAGAGGGGTACTCCTAGGTCGTGAGCCTGTATTGTGTAGAGGCTTCCATAGGACCTAGAACTGGATAATACAGTGGTACTCTTAGGTCCTAATGTTCAGTTCTATAGGGTAACCTTGGTTTTTCCAGTTCCATCATAACAAGATACCCTTGGATCGTCAACCACTGCTACGAAAACACGATTGTGCCATCAAGAATGGCCACAAAGAGTACACTGGCGTTCTTGGATCCTGCCACAACGATGATTGCGGAAGCAAATAAAAAAAACAAGAATAAATCTGCTTCATCAATGGAGAAGCAATCCAATCCCGATATTCTATGGGTGATTAAAAGTACAATGGCTCATACATATACCGTTCCCCGATAGAGCATCGTCGATAGCTCGAGGGTGGGACCGAGATAACTAGTTGTTGTTCGCGCAATAAGAAAGACAAGGGTTCCTGAAATCTGATTGGTTATTTTTGGAACCAATCAGATTGCGAGATTCTATTTCACCTGAAGAGAAACGACTGAGACCAACACATATACCTATCAATCGACAGAGCGTCCTCGATAGCCGTAGGGTTTGCCCGAAGCTGACTAGTCGTTGTACGAGCAATCAGAAAGTAAAGGTCTTCTCAAATCTAATTGATTGGTTTTCCGACCAATCAGATTGTGAGATTCTATTTCATCCGAAAAGAAACGACCATGACCTACACATATACCCATCAATGGACAGAGCATCTTCGACAATCCTAGGATTAGCTTGAACATGACTAGTAGTTCTCCGGACAGATAGTTAAAGGAAAGCAGCTGCAAATCTAGTTGTTGAAAATGGGATGAACACGATTTCAGGAAGAGTGACGATTGACGTTGTCGTGACAATGACAAGTGATGTTCGGGATAGACTCCAAACTTTTCACCGCGCTTTCTTCTACAAGGGATTTGCTCAGTCTGCGAGTTCGATTCCACCGAGATAAAGTACGCCCGAGGAGTAGTCCATTCTCTCACTGTGTGGGTGTCGAAGATTCGAGCCTTCACTTCGTACTGCAAGTGGTTGTTAAGGAGCAAAGGATACTCATGAATAGCATACTTGCTTGGAGAGCTGCATCGAATAAAATGACGTGAGGCCGCATGGTTACAACGAATATTAGGATATGTCCGCCTAAGATTACCCCTATAGTATTTCTTGTGGAGGGAAGGGTTCTGCTTTACCGGCAGCACATTCCGACCTAGGGGTACCCATACGGTAGAGTCGATGGCCGAAGGGTGCGGCTCGAGAAGTAGGTGTGGAGAATCTAATGGTTTTTCTATACAGTGAGAGTTTAGGACCTAACGGTAGCGCTCAATACTACAACTTGAAAGCGTCAGAGTACTCCCAATAGTAGGACTCGTCGACCCAAGGGTGCCTCTAAATGGTAGCACTTCAGAATCTAGTGATATATCTTGGGGTGTCCCATATGGTGCGAATTGAGAACCCAGTATTATCTCTAACCTGAAGAAATTGAGGATCCGCGGGAACCACCTAATAGTAGTGTTTCAGGACCCCAGACTATCCCTGAGTAGTCGAAATTCTGGATCTAAGGGTACCCCACTACTGAGAGGTGACGATCCGAGGGTTGTTGCTATAGTAGAGACCGAGCAGCCACTGAATCCATATAGTATAGTGTAAGAGCTCTAAAGTGCCCCTCATAGCATAATCATTAAAGAACTCGAGACACTCGTAGAAGATAGTCGTCGAGGACCTATGGGTACCACTACAGGGTGGTCCCCGGGACCTATGGCTACTCCGATAAGGTAGCCCCTGAGGACCTATGGGCGTCCCGATATAGTAACCCTTAAGGACCTATGCGTACCCCTGCAGGGTATCCCTTGCGGAGCTATGGTTACCTCTATAGGGTAGCCTTAGGGGACCTATGGCTACCCTTACAGAGTGGCCGTTGAGGACGTATGAGTATGCCTATAGAGTAGCTCTTGAGAACCTATGGGTACCCCTATAGGGTAGCCCCTGAGGGCCTATGGGTACTGCTACAGGGTAGCCGTCGGGGACCTATGGCTACTCCTATAGGGTGACGCTTGACGACCTACGAGTGTCCCTATAGAGTAGCCCTTGGGAACCTTTGGTTACCCCTGTATGGTAGCCCTTGAGGACCCATGTGTACCCTATATAGTAGACCTTGTGGACCTATGGGTACCCCTACAGGATAACCCTCGGAGACCTATGGCTACTTCTATAGGGTGGCCCTTGAGGACCTATGGGTATCCCTATAGGGTAGCCCTTGAGGACCCATGGGTACCTCTATTGGATAGCCCTTGAGGACCGATGCGTACCCGTATATAGTAGCCCTTGGGGACTTATGGGTACCTCTATAGAGCAGCTCTTGAGGACCTATGTGTGCCCCTATAGGGTAGCCCTCGGGAGCCTATGGCTACTTCTATAGGGCGGCCCTTGAGGACCTATGGGTACCTTTAGAGGGTAGCCCTGGAGGACCTATGGATACCCCTATAAGGTAGCCCTTGTTGACCTATGGGTACCCCTACAAATAGTTCGGTTTGTTCAAATGGGCTGTTCGAACAGTGCAGCTCATATGAAATGAGCTGTTTCGAAAGTTCAGTTCGCTCAAATGAACTGTTCTGACAGTTCAGCTCATTTGAAATGAGCTGTTCAAAAAGCTCGATGCGGT